ACTACAGTTTATCAAACTAGCCATTCCAAATATTGAGACATCCACTGAGGGACTGAGCCATACAGTACCTGCTTCAGCATCCATGGATGCACCAGAAGGTCAGCGTACTTGTGTAGCCAAAGCATCCCATGAATCACTAGATGGCAGTATTTCACATTCATAAATTTGATCTCTGGTCCTCCATCCTTGATTCCTAATTACTGAACTAAGGATGCATTTGTACAGTATGTTAGTGTGTATTCTAACAACACGGCACAATTTGATTATTGTTAAGGACTCAGGAATACACTAAAATGTGATCTCCTTATGTGCATACAGTGCACCAATATAGTGATTGCCTGGGCATGACAAAGATGTACTTGTGGTGAAAATGAGGTAATAGATTACCAGTGTCAAACAACATTATCCAAGTCTAACATGTAGTTTCCCTTTTTTATCTTTTTTTTCTACACCTAGTTTCAGCTCAAACCTCAAAGCTGTCTGACCAGAAGCAGGGGTCCCCCAAGGTAGATCTGAGCACCAGTTTTGTTGTATTGCTACTAGGGACTCCCAGTCATAGCTGGAAGTGTCATAGTTTGGATTTGAACCTGTAATCTCTGTACTGTACAATTGGCAAATCAAACGGTATTATCCCCTTGGAAATGTCAAGTAATTTCGAAATGAAAGCTTTCATCTGTGTAGACAAATAAGTACAGTGTACTTGAGATATGCAATACAGGGTTTGCATTAGATTAACACATTATTTAGAGCTGACAGTACATAACCTGCTGCTTTATCAGGAATTCACATCATTGAACTTCTAATGAGCCATCACATTGACAAAATGTTTAATGAAAAGTCAGACTTTTTGGAAGTAGAATGATTCACTCTTATTACAGCGGGTCAGAAATACTTTATATGATGCATCTTTGTCTTTAATGTGCTTAATGTTCTGTGAATTTAGCTTTGACACTTTTATATACACCAGTGAACATAAATAGTTGACAGCAAAAACGTCACTGCTTTCCTTAAAAGTTCTAGGAAGTGTACATCTGTTCTGAAAGCTTAAAAACTATGCTTGAATAAGTACTTGGTTGTAGAACTGAATTTACTTGCAAAATAGATTTAAAACAGTTAAGTGGCCAACAATTTCATGTACTTAATAATGAGTAATTCTTAATTACTGGAAGTGTCCTTTTTTATCATTAAGCCCTTTTGATTTCATTTTAAAGAAAAATCAAAAACAAGAAAAGTTTAAAAAGATTCTAAAATAATTTTGTAAAGTATGTTGAGTATTGTCTGCATTTTCAAAGCTTCATATTTTTCAAGTTGGATTTCTCTAGTCTGTACTGCAGTGCAACATCTGCTTAATTATTCTAGGATAAATTGAACCTGAAAGACTTCTAAATCTTACAGTGCATGAGAACAGGTGGATGCCAGCTTGAAATATCTTTTTAATTGGTTCTCCCTGTATACTTTCTGACAGTAGGTTCTGAGGAGTACTGTATTTTAAGAAGTGGCCTATTTAATTTGCATATAAATATATACAAGAAGATGGTACAGTGATCATCTTTGCTGCCTCGCAGTGCTATTGCTACGGGGTGCTACAGAGGCTATAAAAATTATCCCCCCCCCCCCCCGGACTTCTTTTACATTGTATTGGTTTCTACTACCTTTGCACATTTGGACATAAGTCTTGTCTTTAACTGTGTCACTCTAGAATATGAACTTTTCTCTTTTTAAACCACTCCAGTGTTGCTTTGGCTGTATGTGTTGGGTCATTATCCTACTGGAAGATGAATCTCCAACCAGCTCCCAAGTCTTTCGCAGACTTTAACAAATTTCCTCCAGGTTTTCTCTGTACTTTTGCTGCAGCCATTTTTCCTTCTGTCTTCACAAGTCTCTTATTTTTGAATGCCTGTTATTGTTAAAAATTTAATTACAGGACATGGATATTTTATAACTGCACATGATATGTGATAGTATCATGTATTACAGCCTAAAATGTGTATCTAAGCCATGCGTTTTTTTTGTAAAGGGAGTTGTGTAGTCATGTTTCTTCATCAGTTCATTCTTTAAAAAATGCCTTGGATAGCAAAAATTTTAAATTAACCAAATATAACAGAGGAAACCATTAACTCTTTGGGGATTACAGTGAAAAACAAATGTTCCCTTTCCCAGTTAGTGCGTGCATGATTTCAAAAACATTTGAATGATATGTAAATTTGTTTTATCACATAAATTTATTTGCCTGATAAGTCTAATATTCTATCCATATTATGAGGGTCACAAACAATTCTACCACTTTTGCATTTCCCTTGGTGGGGAAAAAATAAAAAGCAACAAAGCAGCAGTACTTCATCTTCTGACTCAAAAGTTAATTGAAATAAAAGGCAAATGAAAGTTGTAGCACCACAAGTCTACCTGATTTATAGTTTATAAGATGGATTACTGTTGTATTGTAGCTCATTGTCAGTTTGCTGCAATAAAGGAAATTGATTTTTTGATAATAAAAGAAATATGGGTATACCTTTGAAACTAGTTTTCTGCAGGAGTGTGCATAGTGTGTGTCCAAGCAGATTGTGTTGTGGGTATTTTCAATGGCTTCTATCACAGTTCTTCCTGCTTTCTGCAACTAGCAATGTCAAACCAAATTTATATGATTACACTGAAATATATCAAGTATTACAATAAAAAATAAAAAGAAACCCAAGAAATGCCTGGTGCAATATATTTACAGTGGCTAGCAAAACGTTTCACGCCCTTGGACTTTTTCACATTTTATTGTTGCAATATGAAATCATAATGTATTGGGATTTTTCTTTGCTTTTGATCGATACAAAACACTATAATCTGAAAGCGAACACACAAATTCTATAGATTCTCAGAAATAAATGCTAAATATAAAACAGAAAAATAACAAATTGCATAATTATTCATGCTTACAGGAAAAAATCAACCCCATATATTTCATGTGTACTGTATGTTCTTAAGCTGATGATTTAAGGTGATACATATGCACATCCTGAAACAAGCCTGGCATTTGTACAGAAGTCCCCTTTTATTTTGAGAGCAAATATAAGGAATTGTGCAAGCTGATGGCTTCTTCAGCTGTAAATCAGAAACACAAGTTTTCTCTAGGCATGTGGGATAAAATTAGAATTAGGGTGACCTTAAGTAAGCGACAGAACCTTTTAACAATTGCAGAAAGTGCTGAGAGCAAAATATCTTTAATCTGTAATTGTGGATTTGTTCATTTTCTTCTGTGGTTTTTGCAGTCAGTAATACATCCCCCAGATTTTTATGTCTTATCTCTTAACAGCCAACGAATACGTGTGACAAAGTCTCTGTTCCAAATTGTGCTTTGGCTGTGTAAAGCCTTTCTTAGAGATTTTTACCACATTTAAGTACTCAACACTTCTGTGCTCTTATTTGTTTTGATTGTTTTATTCCATTTTAAAAGCTGTTTCAGCTTCCTGCATTTTCAAAAAGACACATGACTTCCATTTAAAATAATTGCAGTGAGTTTCTCCAGCTTGTAGCAACCTCCAATTAAAATGAAGACTTCCTGGATTAAAGAAATCTAAAAGACTGATAACAAAACTTAAACTGTTATAAATGTATTGAAATTAAAGCCTTCCTGGGTAATGCCTGGCTGTTAATCACTATGAGAAAATAGCTGCCTGATACGTTTTTATATGGGAGGCTTGGAATAATTGGATGTGCTGCATAGCACAAATGTGACTGTGAATAACATTACATGATTTTAGCTGTTATGTACAACAGCTTAGAGAGATTGTAATGATTGGCTGCATTGGTGATGATTTGACCGATAAGCCAATAATTACTGAAGCAATCAGATACTTCATCAAGACAAACTGTGGGGTACTGAGTGTGATACGTTTTGAGCATTCTGCCTCATCTTATTGTAACTAACTTAATTTGTACGGGGAGTTTTAATCTATCTGTGCACTTTGAAGACTTTGAATTATTCACATCTTAATCGGGCACTTTTCTGGCTTAAAATACTCGGCAAGAGATCTAGAAAAGCAGAGCCAAAGTAAAGTTAGCATATTAATATGTCTGTGGGTTTCAGAATAAATGTTACGAATACTTACCTTGTAGTTAAGACGTACAAGGCAGAGACTGAGTTATATAAACTTTTTAATCAGATTTTAGGTTATATTTTAGGTTTCATTCTTTTTTGTGTCTATAGTTTGTTTGATATTGCTATAGTATAAATTTAAATACAAATATACTATCCAGTAAATTGGATCAAAGCTGACTTCTAGAAGAGCAGCAGTATGCTGTAGCATGGAAGCACAAACTATCATTTGGCTCATGTCAGAATTTTTATTTTTCAGGATTTAAGATTTTGGCAAAAAAGCACTGTAACAATCTTCCCTGAGATAACTGCATGATATTAATTTGACAAAGCTTTTACAGTGTCTTCTGGACACGCGTACAAATCTATAAATACATATTGATTTCAGTTTGTTCTTTAGCACACTGATATCTATTTCTAGGGAGACATTGTCCTGGATGCAGCAACAAATTAAACCTTTGTTTTCATCAGCCATACAATTGCTCCATTATTTTATAAGCTTATTCTTGTATCAAAAAATGATTGAGTTTTTTTTCAGTGAAAAAAAAGTGCCTTGGTCTCTAGATACACTTAATTAAGCCATATTATTGTTTTTCTTTTATTTGATGACAAGAAATACAGGACAACCTGAATTACCACAGTTACTGTAGAAAGTATGAAGGTATAACGTTTCTACATTCCACTATTTATATTTATGAAGTTAATGACTGAAATAGCTGAATGGTCAACTCATTTTTCCAGTAGTATATCAAGTATCAGGCTATATAAATATCAGACTGTTAACTCCATCCAAATGTCCTGTCTCAAAACCAGTCTTGACCAAGTGTCTTCAAAATCAGGTATTGAATGCCATATATTGGTGGTGTGTTATATATGTTTGGAAAGTTTTTAGTTATAATAATGCTAATTATTTTAGTGTTTTCCACAGCTTTACTCTTAGAAGCCCATTCCACGCCTTTTCAGATCACACCATCAACGATGGCAAATATAGTGAAAGGCCTTTACACTCTCCGACCAGGTAAGGAACTCAACCTTATTCATAACGTATTGATCATGTTTTCGGCACTGTTAATTCTGTTGGAGGGGTTTGGGCAGTTTGCACAGGGAGAAAAATGTTCATCTGTTGTCTTGTCTTATACTTGGAAGAGTTTAAATTTCTTCAGATGGCAGTACAGTTTATGTACTGATTAGATCCATGCACAAATCGTTGTGTTGATGCTTTATGATCATTGCCCTCACGTCCAAAAAATGGTCATGGTATATTCCAGTGCAGCCAGACTGTAATTAAAAGTGGGATACAGTACTTAAGAAGACAATAGAAGACAATGAGGCAGCGAGTGAAAGGAAGGCTTTTTTAGATCCCGAGTGGTAATAATTTGGCTCATGTATTAATGATCTTGATGCTTTTGGGGAGGCGCAGCTGGAGGATGTGTTCTCATATTTCAGCTTCAAGAAATCACTCATTTGACCAACAGCTCAATATCCAACTGTAAGGCAATACCTATTTTCTTTGTGTAGACTGATGTTTGATTTTTTTTCTAGAGCTGAAATTTAACCTTTTAACTTCTGATTTTTTTTTTACTTTATTCTTAGAATAATGCTAAATAGCATCCTTTTTTCATCTGAAATCCATGAATGCTAAGGCTTTGTGGTACTTTGATTGTAAGTAAAACAATAAGAAGAGATATATAGGTAGGCCTTCACATATACCATTTCTTACAGCTCCTTGCCTATAATATGTATAATATTGGAAGAAAAAATATACACACAGGTTCATCCAGACACAACTGTTTCAAATGGATGTTTTTGCCTCTTCCGTATTACTCTATCTTTTATTATGAACCAGAACATATTAAACAGCAACCCTAATAAATCTAGACTATACAGTAGATACAGATGCTATGAAGAGTAAAAGAAATAAATAGCCAAAAATGTGAAAAGCAGGTAATGAGATTTGAAGACCAGGCTTGAAAAATTACTTTAAAAATACTTTGAAATGATTAATATGAGAGAAACATAACTCTTACCTTAGTATGTTTGAATAAAACTAGAAAGGACAAAAACATGAGGCATAATACTGTAAAAAAAGATTGATGCAAACATCACAGCTTGTGTTCTGGCTTCATTAATTAGCTGAATTAGTTTTAGTTCAGGTTCAGCTTTATCTTTGGGTATGTTCTGCTGGAGGATTGTGTTATAATCTGTATGTGTGTATACAGTATGCTGTACATTCGGTTTCATGGACTTTGGATTTTATGGACAAAATCTGCTCAAGGGGTATTATGTATGTGAAATCAGAAATATGACTCTTTCCCAGCAATAATGATGAAATGCACAAACTATAAAACAATGCAAAATACTACAATACTAAATTTAGAAATATTAATGGGGCGCTATAGTGGTAGGTTAATTGCTTAGAATGAGTGGTGTTTGTGTTTCCTATGCTTCAGTATTATTTATGACACATGAGAGAGGAGTGTCATACATTTGGTACATTTGGATTCTTTTTGGCACTGTTCTCTCAGGCTGTATACAGTACAATAGACAACACCACACAATGTGCACAGTACATGACCAAACTGAACAAAAAAAAATTACAATCATATAGTAGTACAGACAATAAACACACAGGACAAGGACACAAGTGATATCTGAGGCATTAAATGTGCAGTACCACTTGCCAGAGCATAAGAGAGAACAGTTTAATTGTTATCCTAACCTGTAAACAGCACAAAGCTAGTTCAGGTGCATGTTACAAAAAAAGGCAGTACTGTCAAATTAAAACACATTCACTGTTAATACTTTTCAGATACTTCCTAACTGATACTTTATATGATTCTGACAAATTTGAGGTCATGTGAGGTCATGCATGATGTACTGTACAGTACTTGATGATTTACAGGAGCCCAAGTAAGGGTTAGGGTTAGAGCTTGAACAACACCTAGACATTGTATAATGCATTTGCTGTGCTTTATGATGTATTTGAAATGCAGGAAAAGTTTTGTTTTGTTGTTTCCTCGAAAAACAAAATGGCCCAAATTTGCAGCTTTTGCTACCGTGCCGTGCCTGTCAATCAAAAATGATTCAAAATCAAAAGTTAGAAAACTCACTTTCTACATGCTAAACTTTCTCATTTTTTTGCACTTAAAACCAAACAAAATTACAAGTTTAGCCAAACTTTAGTGTTAACTGTAATCATAACCTTTAAACAACACATCTTGCTTCCTTTAAATGCCATTTCAGTTGCAGGTTACAAAAAAAGAAATACGGGAACATTAAAACAGATTCACAGCAGACACATTTAAAAAGCTTTATAACTGGAACTTTTTATGATTCTGACTAATTAACAATAGTTTATAGCTCGGCCATTAACATAACTGGTCCTGCCAAGCTGGTGCCAAAGCTCAGGAATCTGGGTTTATGCAGCTCTATCTACAACTGGATGTAGGATTTCCTGACGAGCAGACCTCAGGTGGTGAAAATTGCAACAGTATCTCCTCTATGTGGATGTTGATGTTAGCTCATTATGCCTTCCGGCATGTAGGCACATCCTGTTCATCCTGTTGCTTTTTGCATAACATTTGTTTTTCATGGGACAGGGTTGTTAGCCTTGTGCCCAACCTCCTACATGGAAGACCTGGTGCCCGACGTGGGACATGAACCCACTATCCTGAGATTATGAGTATTGTGCTCTACCAACAGAGCTAGTTGGGGCAATATCTCCTCTATAGCGATCCTACATTCTGGAGCTTCCTCAAGGCTGCTAGCTCAGTCCCTGGCTGTATTCCGTGTTCACCTATGACTGTACAGCAACCATATTAAGAATTTTGTTGATGACACCACAGTTATTGGGCTGATCAGCAACAGCAATGAAGTCTGCATATCAGGTGGAGCATCTAACAAGGTGGTTCCTTGATTACCTAGCCCTGGATGCCTGCAAGACAAAAAAAAGTCATTGCAGATTTAAGGAAACCCAGAGGGAGTCGAGTCACGTCACAATCAGTATCAAGAGAAGAACAGTGGGAACTGTGAGCTGCTTCAGGTTCCACGGACTGTAGATCCCTGACGACTTGGCTTGACCTCACCACATGCAGGCCAGTCTGAAAAAAGGCACAACAGCACCTCCACTTTCTGCATTGCATAAAGAAATGTGGTATAGGAAAGCAGCTACTCAGAAACTTTTACCACAGCACCATAGAAAGTGCCCTCACTAGTATTAGCACTGTATTGTACTGCAAAGATATTCTACAAAGGGTTGTGGCTAAAACACAAGAGGATTAGAGAATCTCACTTATCAATTGATGAGATCCACACCATCCACCATAACAATAAAGCCCAATCCATTATTCAGGATACCATATATCAAACATATATCAAAAACCTTGCCTTAAAAAAACGTGATCAAAAATGACTCCAAATTTGTCAGAATCATATAAAGCATATATAAAGTAAATCTTCTTAAATTTGACAGTATTGTTTTTTTGTAACTTGCACCTGAAATGGCGTGTGAAATAAGATTTGTTCTGTTTACAGGTTAGGATTACAATAACCACTAAAGTTCGGCTAAACTTGTCTTTTTGTTTGGTTTAAAGGGAAAAAAGTTAGAGAAATTAGCATGTTATAATAATAATAAGAAGAAGAATAACAATATTACACTCCACTCAAAGCGCTTTACAGGTAATGGGGTCTCCCCTCCACCACCACCAATGTGCAGCAAAAAATGTAGAAAGTGTGTTTTCAATATTTTGATGATTTTTGACATAGTGTATGTGCGATTTAGGAAAAGTTACATATTTGGGCCAAATTTATTTTTTGCGGATGTATTGCAAAAATTGTTGATTGTTCAGACCCCATCCATAAGCTTACCTTTTCCACTTCTAGAGCATGCATTAGATTAACAACCTTGATTTAAAAAACTGTTCGAAAATGTTACTTACATTACTGCCCCTGTTTACATTTTCAAGGGCAATACAGTATGTAGTGCTATACAGCAATACAACAAGATACAGCAATAATATCTGACTCATTTGAGCAGGAAGCAAACTGAAGTGCATCAAGGGAGTCTAGGATCATGCAGTTTTTTTGTCTCACTACTAGTCTTCCCAGACACTTCATCATCATAGAAGTGGGGTCCACTGGGTGTTGAATGCACTCACATTACCTTGTTCACATGACTGATTGTAGAGAGAGAAATTAAAAATGTCTTTATATACAACTTATAACTGAATGCCACAGGTTTTAAGTACACAAGGTCAAAAATGCCATCTGGGTTTGCTGCTTGTGGGTTTTTCACTCCTTTAAAGGCTCTACACACCTCTTGTTTTGAAAGCTGTGACAAAAGGTCTTCTGGTTCTCTGGTAGCTTTGATAGCAAGCTTAGTGTTCTGAATCTCAAAGTGGTTGTAGAAGATGTTCAGCTCACCTGGCAGTGATGCAGCATGAAATAAATAGCTAGTGTATTTATGATGGGGCAGCACAGTGGATAGCATTGCTTCTTTGTAATGTCAATAGATCCTGTTAGCATATATAATATTGTTACCAAAATTGGAGAAAATCAGGATTTGACTGAGCGGTTTAGTCAGTAAGTAAAATAATTATTCATAACCCCCGAATTGTAAGTGATTTCTAGCAATATACCAGAGTAGCTGGTATAATTAGAGGTGCGTGAATTCTTTGTTCTCTCGCACAGCTTTGGTGAGAGGAGTAATAATCCAGGCACATTTGGTTAAACAATTATTTATTACAATAACAAAACACAAACTACACTACACACCACATAACAACCCACAAGTTAATTTATGTACAGTATTTACAAATAAGGCATTTCAAAGGCCTAACATTCTGAGAAAACCCCAGACTGCTACTAAGCATTACACTCATATTGCCTACAGAGGCCCCATAAGAGATGAGCTGCCTTCTAACTAAATACAATGCAACCTGCAGTTAAATCTCTCTCTCTGCACCCCAGATGTCACAAAATAACTGGGAGCTTATATCCCTATCCATAAAAATGCACCCTAAGCAGGAAAGACGTTTCTAACTGAGGTATCTTTTACCCAGGAAACCCAAGTCTTCTTAAAAACACAGAAAAGCACACTTTCTCTAACAAGGTTCAAAGACTTAGCTCCAGACAGGTTTGGTTTGGATGATCAGGTAGAGGCTCTCGCCTGGCACAAGCTCCCACCTCCTCTGGACTCCTCTCTCTTCTCCTTCTTGCCTGCTTCTCTTTTCTTCCCCTCCTCTCTCTCTTCATGTGATCTTATATTGTGTGTGTCTGTATTGCTCCTTGCAAATCATTAACCCACAACTAACCTAGGTATACTAAGGTAAACTTTACAATTGTTTCTGTTCAAGGGACCCCCCCACCTCAGATATCCTCTCTGCTTTGAAGTTAGAAGTGTTTACTTTTCCAAGTGTCACAAACTTCATCTAAAATCTAAGAGACACCTCTCAGTCAATTAAAACTGTAATAGTATATATATTTTGTTTTCTCTTACAATAGTATGTTTTTGGACTTTAAAAATGTCATTTGTGACTTAACACCAATAATGGAAA